TGAAAATATTAATTAAATACACCTATCTAGTTTGTAGTTTAGGACTGCTGTTTCCTTGTTCATTTCTGTCTCAGTGATCTACCCATTGATGCCAAAGGGGTGCTAACATCCCCTCCTATGACTATATTACTATCCATCTCTCCCTCAATGTCCGTCAAGATTTGCTTTGTATACTTAGGTGCTCTTTGTTGGATGCATAAATGTTTACAAGGGTTATATCCTCTTATTGGATTGTTCTCTTTATCATTATATTATGTCTTTATCTCTTATTACATCTTGTTTTAAAATTTATTTTGACTGATATAATTTACTACTCCAGCTTTTGTTTTGTTTCCATTTTCATTATATATCATTTGTCATCCTTTTGCTTTTAGTTAGTGTGTATTTTTCATTCTGAAGTGCGTCTCTCATAGACAACATATATATGGATCTTGTTTTCTTATCCATTCAACTGTCCACTGTCTTTTAATTGAAGCATTTAAATCCATCCACTGTCTTTTAATTGAAGCATTTAAATCATTTACATTTAAGGTAATTATTGATTATTGATAGGTATGTATTTATTGCCATTTTATTATTTATAACTGTGTTCCTTCTGTATTTTTTCTTTTCTTAAAGAAGGCCCTTTAATATTTCTTATAATATAGGTTTGGTGGTAACAAACTTTTAGGTGTTTGTTTGTTTTTGTTTTGTTTTTTCACCTGGGAAGCTATTTATTTTCCCATCAATTGAATGATAGCCTTGCTGGGTAGAATAGTCTTCATTGTTGGTCCTTGATTTTTATCATTTTGTATATTTCATGCCAATTCCTTGTGGTCTGAAATGTTTTTGTTGAGGAGTCAGTTGAGAGTCATTTGGGAGTTCCCTTGTAGGTAACTGTTTTTCTCTTGCTGCTTTTAAGATTCTCTCTTTGTCTTATTCTTTATCATTTTAATTATGATGTGTCTTTTTGTGGGCTTCTTTGTGTTCATCTTGTTTAGGACTCTGTGCTCTTCCTGGACCAGTGTGTCTTTTTCTTTCAGGAGGTTAGGGTAGTTTTCAGCCATTATTTCTTCAAATATGTTCTTGATTCTTTCCTTGCTCTCTTCTTTTTCTGATACCCCTATGATACAGATGTTGTTACACTTCATTTTTTCCCAGAGGTCCTTTAGACTAGCCTCATTTAAAAAAAAACATTTTATTTATTTATTTTTAGACAAAGGGGAAGGGAAAGAGAGAGGGAGAGAAACATCAATGTGTGGTTGACTCTCATGCACCCCCTACTGGGGGCCTGACCAGAAACCCAGGCATGTGCCCTGTTTGGAAATCAAAGCAATGACCCTTTGGTTTGCAGGCCAGCACTCAATCCACTGAGCCACACCAGCTATGGCTAGACTATCCTTGCCTGCTAGATGTATTTGATCCCTTCTAGTGTATTCCTTATTTGAGATATTGTATTATTAATTTCTGGCTGGTTCTTTTTTATGGTTTCTATGTTGTTTTTCATGCTGTTGAAGTTCTCACTATATTTTTGAGCATCTTCATAACCATTGTTTTGAACTATGTATCTTGTAGCTTGTTTGCCTCTATTTCATTTAGTTGCTTTTTGGGAATTCTCCTGCCTTTCATTTGTGTAATGTTTCTTTGTCTCCCCACTTTGGCTATTTTTCTTTGTTTGTTTCTGGGTACTAGGTAGATGTTCCATGCTTTGGTATGGTGGCTTTATGTAGTAGGTGTGTTGTAGGGCTCAGAGGAGTGGTCTTTCTAATTTCCTGAGCTAAGTGCTGCCATTTTTTATGTAGGTTATGTGAGCCATCCAGTTGTATCAGTAGTTGAGTCTTGATTACTGTTGGCTTGTCCATGGTTGAAGTTGCTCCTTCAGCTGGCTATGAGGATCAACCCTCAATGCAGTGCATAGATGCTATGCAGAGACAGCTCCACAAAGCTGAATTTGTCCCAACTAGTGTCTTCTGAGATTTTCCTTTGTTTGTGCTGCTCATGGTGCTATGATGTGGTCTGAACCACTGGTTGTGTTGGTTCTGGGGCCCATCAGGAGGCATCATAGTGCTGCTAGATGACAGGCACTGACAGTGACAAGCCTGGGCTACATGTTTGGAGGTATGATATAACCTCTAGTTTGTGGCTGGCTCTGCAGGGCCTCGGTGTGCATGGGAGGGGCCTCACTGTGCAACAAGACCTATTTCCACTGACACCAGACTCAAAGGCAAGACAGCAGGAGGACCAAAGCTCCCCAAGATTTGCCCTCACCTGTTAGCTGTCTGGTAGGCTCAGTTACTGAAAGAGCCTGTGATGGTATACCAGTTGCTTGAAGGAGGCTCTCAGTGAGTCAGCAGGTAGGTAGGGTGACAGTTGTTCACCAGGCTGATAGAGATTCAAACTTGGTGCCAGTGCTGGGTTTAAAGCCACTCAGCAACAGTCTCAGGGCACACCATAATTAGCCTCCACCTGCTTTGTGCCTGTGGACCTCTGTGGTGGGGTCATGTCTCAGGGATTAATCAGGGTGTGACCAGCAGTGTTCAACAGTCCTACACAGATTTGGTTGTGTGAAGGGAGAGCTCTGCACAGGAAAGGTGATGCTGGTCTGGTATGAGCTGGAGGAAAAATGGTCCATTCAAGAAGAAATGGCCTCACCCAAGTGCCAAACAACTCATTTCCTTCTAGAATCTTCCCAGATCTAGTGGAGAGTCTTCTGTATCAAGGAACCAAGTTGGCTGTGGCAGACTGACAGTACTGTGGACCACAAGCTCAGCAGGGCAGGGCTGCCAGAAGTCAGGGTCGTGGATATAGTTTTTCATTAATGGGGCTAGTAGATCTCTAGTGGGCGTCGGGAAGCAGCTACTCTGGCTGTGGGCTGTGCCCCAGGCTGGTGCTTGGCTATGGAGATAGTGTGTGAGCCATGGGACTACTATGGCCGTGGTGGGCAGGGCAGGCCAGACTAGTATGAAACTGGTCTCTTCTGGCCCACAGTAGACAGGGAAGGGAAATGGTCTCTGACCCAGAGCCTCACAACTCTGTCTCTGATTCTCTTTGAATGTGTCCTCAAGATCCCGTCAAGAAAGTCTATACCACAGGCTTAGGCAGCAGACTGTTTTGGAGGTTGTGAGGTTGCCTGGACTACAGGGGTGCCAGGAGGATGGGGTTGTACAGTCCTGCTAGGCCAGTGCAGATTGGAGAGGAATGTTCGCCCCAGGAAAGATGGTGTCTGTGGACAGTGCAGGTGAGGAACTCAGCACAGGGACTCTGGTGGCTGCCCTTTCAGCTCTCTTTCTGGAGTCATACAGCCCAATCCGTCCTCACAAGACTCCACACGCACATGCTCAGATCCACACGCCCGCTGCTTGAGCCCACTGTGAGTGGCTGCAAATGAGATTTTGTGTGCTAACCCTTTTAGTGGGCACTTGAGTTTCTGTCAGTATCCCATTTCTCCCTGGTGGCCACAATGCCCACTATTTTTACAGCCAAATGTTATGTGAGAGACTGTTTTCAGCTCTGTTGCTCCAGGTGGGGGAGTTCAATGTGGGATGAAGACCCAATGTGTCTGCAAAGACCCCATGTGTCTTTACAGCTGAGATATCCCTCCAGATTCTCAGCTACCAAACTGGGGCCCACACTTTTTGCATCTTCAACCTTCCAATCAATCTTGATGTGGCTTCTGTTAATCCTTGGTTATAAAACTTCTGTTCAGCTCATCTTCAATTAGTTATTTAGGTTGATTGTTCTATAATTTAGTTATAATTCCAGTTTGGGTCTGGAAGAAGGTGAGTGTAACTTCCACCTACTCTGCTGCCATCTTCTGATTTATTCTTTTTCTAACTTAAGTTAGAAATTTAGCTTATTGATTTTGTATTTTGCTACCTTTCTAGTAAGTGTATTTAAGATATTTTCTAATTTCTCTTGTGATCTCTTCTTTGTTGGATGGTTACTTAAATATTAGTGAACCGTATTTTTAGAGTAGTTGTAAGCTCAACAAAATTGAGCAGAAAGTACAGAGTTTCCCCATACTCGCCACCCCCTCTCACAGCCTTGCTCACCTCTCACCAGTGTCGTGCCCTTGTTACAACAGATAAACAAACAGTGACAGGGTGTTATCACCCAAATGATTAGAGCATCCTCTTTCTAAACTACTTGCTTCCTTAAAAAAACAAGCATGTGTTGAATTTATATTTAGAAGAAAAAAATACATTATATAACATCTACCAAATTTATAAATTAAGAGTTGTATATTTATGAATGAAAGAATTATAGTAGAATTTTTTTCATTTGGTTTCTATTTAGATATTGAAAATGAACATTTACTAGTATACAGAAGGTGAGGGGAGTAAATGATTTACTAGACTATGTATAAATACATGATTTCATTCTTTTTTCCATTTAATTTTTTACTGTACTTTTTCCATTACCATTTAACCCCATTTTACCCGCCTCCCCTCACAATCACCACACACTGTTGTCCATGTCCTTGAGTCCTTTTTCCTTTCTGCTCAATCTCCCCCCAAAACTCCCCCTCCCAATAGCTATCATCATGCTCTCTATATATGAGCTTGTCTCTGCTTTGCTCATTAGTTCAGTTTGTTTTTAAGATTTGAAACATATTTTAAAAATAACCTGGTTGAATAAGTAATGTTTTACATATATTTAGCATATCAGTCTTATTGGAAAAGGAAAAATTTTAAAATAAAAATTATTAGCATATTTTATTTAAAATAATGTTAGATTTAGGAATAGAAAACTTTTAAATTAAATTGTACTGAAGAATGCAATGTTTTGAATCTATGAAAAGAAACACTAAAACAGTTTCCTTAAAAGTAATACATATAAAGTTTTCCAGTATTCATATCTCAAAATATTTTTAAGTCTGTTTATGCAAATTATCTTTTAATAAATACAACTTTTACTTTCTATTTTGCAATACTATAATTTTAAGAATATTATGAGTTAAAATACTAATGTCATGTGTGTAATAATTTCCTTTTACATTATGGAATCAAATTTTATCACAGGTTTCGTCTTGATATATATCGTTGTTTGGCCAGTCCGGCTTTAATAATGTTAACAGAGGAGGATCCAATTCTGAGAGCATTCGAACTTAGTGCTGATTTAAAAGAACTGAGCCTTGTGGAGGTGGAATTCAGGTGGGAATGAATGGAAATTATATCTGTTTTTCAGAATATTTATTTATATTTGATCCAATATGACCAGATTTTGCTGCCACCTTCTTGGGATTTTCTTTCTTCCTTAGTGAATAGACCCTGGTATAATTTAGATGACTCCTGCCCATCTGCTTTCTGTTCCTCTTGCACTGCCCTTAAATCCCTGCTTTGTTCAACATTGCCAAAGGCATCCTAGGGCAATGTGAAGAGTAGTGGAGTGGTAGCCTTAAGCAGGAATAAAATTATTTATAACTGCTCTCTGTCCTACTTCCCCTTATTCCCACAGTCTTTAATTATCCTTGGAGTGTGATTCTTCATAACTCTCAGAAACAATAGAATGCTTTCTGTATTGGGGCTATTGCAAACATGGAAACCTAGTCCCTTTTCACTGTTTGTTCACTGTTTGGTGAGAGTTCCTACTAGGAGAAGCATAACATGTAGACAGCTTTTCTGAAATGAAGAGTTCCGTGCAATTCTGGCAATTCGCATACACAAGGAATCACTGTTACCATTTCTCCTAGAGAGGTAAATTAGAGGGAAAAAAAGGCTTTCAAAAAAGCAGCCTATTAAACTACTGACAGGCATTTAAAAAATGCTTTTTTAATTACATTTGTAAACTTTAGGAAAAGCTGTGAGTCTTTCTCTTACATTAAAGTATCCTTGGTGCCCTCCAAGGAAGGGAGACTTGACCAAGATTTCTTGACAGTCCCCACCCTTCCTTTCATGTCCAGCTGACGGTGGAGCCCATGTCTTACGTTGCTGTCCTCCAGTGGCTTGATAGTTGGGAAAATTCGAACTTCTACTTACTGGAAGGGCAAAAAAGAAGCTTGCACTTTTCTTTTGTCTTCACAGCAGTATATACAGATAGTTCTTGATATCTCTGAGTTTAGAAACTTTCTATTTTAACCTCATAATCGGAGCTCTGAGTTATCACATAAAAGAATTTATTCAACTCCTTTCAAATGGAAACAACCACTGTGATTATATTGTAATCATAGTCTAATAAAGTTAGATTTTGAAGTGATGGTCTCTTGTTTTTTTCGATGGGGAATGTGATATATAGAGGTTAGATATTTTATTAATATCACCTGCTAATTAGGAATGGAGTTGATCTTGAAAGTAGGAGCAGAGTTGTTGCTAGAATGGAAGGAAGACTCATTGCTTCCTTTTTACTATATTTCTATCTAAACTATACAGCCTCTTATTAGTTTTACAATAATCTATTGGAGATTAAGCAACTTAGGTATATAAAATATATTAATGCTACCTTTCAATGTAGTGGCTGTCAGCCTTTATCTAAAAATGAGATATCTTTGTAAAAAATATACTTTTGATAAATGTTTCCATCTGCAATTAGATGCCTAGACCAAGAAGCAGGTAATACTCCAGTTGTTAAAGAAATCCAACTATTTATTCTTAGGTATTTTGGTTACATACTAAATACAAAGAATGGATGACAAAAATGTTAGCTCCTAAGAAATAGTTTTTAACTTTTTGAGTTAGGATGTTATGTAACCAGTTCATGGAAGATCCCATTGTGTAGAAATATTAATCAATGGGAAATCTTCCTATTTTCCTTTCCTTTCTCTTTAAGGAAAAAAAGGAACAAAAATTATTTTCTGAAGTTCAGTTGACTCATAATTATTTATTTCTAACTTTATTCTTAAATTGTTTTATGCAGGCATGTTTAATGTAATTGCTATTCTTGCAAAGAATTATATGCTAAAACTTCTTAATTCCTCACAAATTGATTTGGGCCTACCTTTAGCAAACAGTTAAATTCTAAGTTTCAAGGAATAGTGATTCTGAAAGAGAACTCTTTACTAGGAACGTTTCAGTATCTTCCTAACTCAATTTTTGTTCCAATGAGCAATTTAAAAATTAATCAAAATACTATTTTAATACCATAAGTAGAATAAATATGTTCTAGACCATTATTGAAAAAGGGTTAAAAACTGTGTAATAATATTTATTAGATAGCATTAACATTATTTCCTGTTTTAAGATATATAGTATGAAAGGAAGTACTAAATATAGAGAATAAAGGCAAATGAGTTAAGTGAAGAATTGGTTGACAAATATTATTAGAATTTCTAGGAATATCAGTGTGTGTGAGGAAGTGTTGTGCTTATCTAAGGGTATCAGTGTGAACATCAGAAACACAATCACGTCACAGTGTCCCCGCAGCTGTGGAGCATTAGTGCACCAGTAGTTACTTTGAGTGTCAGCACAAAATGACTTTAGATTTTTCATACCACCGTCAGAACTAAAATATTACTGAGTAAAAGTTTTCTAGTGAAAATAGCTTATTAGAAAGCAGAAGTAACATTTCTAATAATTGATCATTGCATTTTGCAGGACTGATTATGAAGAACTAGCCCGGCAGTGTAAAATGTTTGCTAAAGATTTGCTTGCACAAGCCCGGAATTCACGTGAATTGGAAGTTATTCTAAACCATACATCCAGCGATGAGCCTCTTGACAAACGGGGACTGTTAGAAGAAAGAATGAATTTAAGTCGTCTAAAACTTGCTATCAAATATAACCAAAAGGAGGTATGAGGGTTTTGGTGATATATTGAAATTGCTTCCTCCACTGTGGTCTAGTGGCTCAGAGCAAAGGCTTTGGAGCAGCACTAAGATCCTGGGACTTAGATCCATACATGCTAAGATCCTGGTTCTGCTTCATAAAAACATGTGTCCTCGGGAAAGTTATTGAATCTGGTGGAGCTTCAGTTTTAAGAATTAATAAATATATGTAGTTAAGAGTTTATTATAGTGAGTACTAGCATTAAGCAAAAACTCAGGAGTAGTTGCTATTATTTTTAGTAGTTAATTTTCATTATAATAGTGTCTACATTAATTTAGTGTTTTTTGCAAAATTGCAGCTACACAGGTAAGATCTTGTGTCATGACCTCATAATGAAGTTTCCATCTCATATTTTGTCTGTCATAGTTCGTTTTATTGATCTGGCTATAATAGTCCTTTTTATAGTAATAGTGCCTTTCTGTTTAAAAATAAAGTATCAGATGTTATGTTTCTTGATTCTTATTTGTTAATTTATTGTGAAACCCAAGGGTGGAGAGGCACATGATAAGATAACTAAGTTGAATGTGATTCTTCTGACACCATCTCTTCCTATTAAAGGAAATACCTATTTCTATTCCCATACACATACATACACATGATTCAGGAACTTCAAGAAGGAAGAAGGCAAGAATTTTTAATTTTAAGGCTCATTTACTGAATGAATGCATACATTTTATATGTATACAATGATATACAGTTGACAGTATGGAGTATTGATAAATGGTACTTTAAAGGTATTGCTTCTAAGACCCATTATTTTAATTATGAACATAGATATTGGCATAAAACTTTTTTATCAAATTCATTTTAATATAAAAAATGAAGCCTGAAATAGATAATGGCAGAAAGCAAAATATAGGACCTCTGATGCTGGGAAAATAATTTTTTTAAATTTTGGTTGAGATCTGTCCTCATATATGAGATCTGTCCAGAAGGTATCCAGCCATGTGATATGAAAAATAGAGACATTTATTGAAGAAGATATAAGGAACATTGTACATAGGACAATGATACCTCAGTCCCCTGCAAAGTAGGCAGCTTGGGACCTCACAGAGTTCTCTCAATCGCCATCAGCTACCACATCATATTTTCCTGAATCTCATCACAATCTGAAATCTCTTCCCTTTCAAAGGTGATTTTAGTTTTGGGAAAAGCCAGAAGTCACAGGGCACCAAATCTGGGCTGTAGTGAGGCTACATCTCACTACATAGTCACCTGGGTGATTCGATGTTTTACCAAAAAAATTTGCATAAGGTATGATGCATGAGCAGGTGCATTGTTGTGATGAACCTGCCAATCACTAGTTGCCCATGGCTGTGGCCTTCTGAATCATCCAAATAGTTTTCACAGAGGATATTTAAACATAATGCAAAATTTGGTGCAGATTTGTTGTTCTACTTGCTTAGTAATTTTTAATGTGACAGCCACATGGTACATATGCTCACTCAATGATGTCTACTGCCCCCACTGACTAGTATAGTGAAGTCATTATTCATGCATGTGCATTCCAGTCCACTCTCCTAGGCTGCCAGTTTACATTGATGTTGTGCAAACTGCTCTAATTATATTAATAATGGCTGAATTTTTTTCTGCACAGACCTTGTAGCTTGGATACAGGGATTTTAAGATGTTTACTTTAAGATTACCTAGATAGTGTATTGTTTATCCAGATCTGTGGCTCCATGCTAATGTGTACAAGTAGAAATAGAACAGAAACCCTGATGTAACCTTCCTCTCATATATATTTTGACTAGACATTATTGACTATGTACTAGGTTAATTTATATACTTATTTGTCCCACAACTTAAAATAGACATGAAATTTTAGAATATGGTAGAATAGGGAGATAACAAGATACAAAATCAATGTAAGTGATTGGGAAAAGAACATCAAAAAAAGTGGACAGAACCAAGATAATCCTGGTTAGGGAAGAAACAACCAAGAGGCAGTTTCCTAGCAATGTATTTATGTACCTGAAGGACACACAAGAGGTAATCAAACGTTTCCTTCTAAAGAAGACGAAAGAAAAGGAAAAAGAAATAGTAGTATTTTTAGTTGAAAGGAAGGCATTCCATAATTTTAAGGATTAAATAAAATATTAAATGGCCTTTTAAACTAAAATTCTAAGTATATTAAAGGAGGAGATAATATTTTCCCAAATAATTGGTAGACTTTATTCATCCTGAATAACAAACTACCCTAATACTTAATGGCCTAAAACAGCATCTCATCATCATTTATAATTGTTTTATAATCATTTCATTATGTTCTTGGATTCTTTAGGTCAGGACTTAGGAAAGAGCATTGCAAAAAGGATTTGTCTCTGCTTCACTATGGGTAGGGCCTCACCTAGAGATAGCTCACATGACTGGGAGCTACAGTTGCTTTGAGGCTTCTTCACACACACCTCAGGTGCTTGAGCAGGCCCTTGAGGACCTCAGGAGCTCTGAGTGGGCTGTGTGCTCAGGTAGATAGGTCCACAGGGGGTGGGCTTCTTGAGAACTGGAACCATAGAGGGGCATGGCCATGATGGTGTGCTGGCTATGGGGAAATGGTTTGAGGATCCTCTGAGGGCTGACTAGGGTGCCTACATGTAACCTGGGCTTCCGCACAGCATGCTGGCTTCAGGGTACCAGGACTTTTTACAGGGCAGTTTATGGCTCTGAGAGCAAATGTTCTGCAAAGTGGAAGCCGAATGACCTTTTATGAGCCATTTTCACAAGTCACATAAGTGTCACTTCTTCCAGAATCTCCTACTTAAAGCAATCACATGTTGAAGGGTACAGAACATCAATAGCCTACCTCTTAATTAGAGGACTATCAAAGAATTTGTGTCTCCATTTTAAGTTTTTTTTAATCCTTACCCAAGGATATATTTTTAATTGATTTTAGAGAGAGAGGAAGGTGGAGAGAGAGAGGCATCAGTGTGAGAAACAGTCATTGATCAGTTGCTTCTCATAGACACCCAGCCTGGGGATTGAACCCGCAGCTGAGGTATGTGCCACGATCAGGGATCGAACCCGTGACCTCTTGGTGCATGGGACAACACTCCAACCAACAGAGCCACCTGGGCAGGGCTGTATCTACATTTTAAATCCCCCATAGAATAATAACATTTCCAATTGAAATTTTGTTTTTCCAGTTACCTATATAACATTACTATCACTTAAATCACCATTATGCTGAGGGATGGCAAGGACAGTAAACAGTCCTGAGATTGCTTTGAGATTTGGGGGGAAGGGTGAAACCATTCAGTTTAGGATGCTACTAAATTAGGTAATTGTTAGATGAAAAGGCTATTTCTCTCTCTAGTATTTCATCTTGAAAGACAAAGTCAGATTCTTTAAGAACACCTGAATTTGAGCAGAATAAAGAATGAAGTAAGACTTAAGTGCCAAAAAAAGTATAATATTGAGTTGGCCAGAAAATCTGCTTAGTGTTTTCTGTAAAATAAGAGACACATTTTTCATTTTCATCAGTAATGTTTTTCATTATCGATTTGGATATTTTGAGAATGTCAGCTGTCTCCCACTATTGGCTTCTAGTGGGTAGAGGCAGGGGTTGCTACTAAACACCTTCCAATGCATAAGATAGGCCCAGGGCAAAGAATTATTTGGCCAAAATGTCAATAGTACCAAGAAATTTCACAAACCACTTTTGACATGTTTGGTCAGTCGCAGCCCCTTCTCTATATTCTGCACAAATTTTTTGTGTTTCAGTTTTGATTTTACTTTTCTTGAAATAATAAAGCATAATGTGCTGATAATGCTGCATATTTTCTTCCACCTTCAATTAAAATGGCTGCACAAAAATTCACTGTTTTGTTTTAAAGCATGCTGATGTGTCAGCTGTCACAATACCATCTAACAAAATTGTTTTGAATGAAATTAAAGACAACTGAGCATGACTAGAGCCATAGTATAGAAGAAAACTAAATGAACTTTTTGGCTAACCCAGTATATTAGGAAATTTATTGATAAGCACAATAAACAACAACAGGAACTTTTTTTACTACAGTGTTGCATTGTACAAATTATATTCTGTCCCAGGATAAATCACTTTAAAATAGAAGATTGACTAAATATAATTTAGATATCTAAGTGATGTTATGATCACTTTTGCTTTACTTTAGTAATTTCAAACCTGATCACAGTACTGTATGTAGTGTTATCAGAATCCTTAAGTTAACTTCACTCTGTGAGCATTATATTGGGAAAATACTGCTTCTGGAATGTGCAAACTGAAAAGCTTTGTAAACTTTGATTTTCTGTACTTTTTACTTACACTAGAATTTTCATCTTAGTTCGGGATATTTTTCCTTCCACACAGAACTCAGTTTTAAGCAGACTAAAGACGATTGCACTTTACATTTTCTGTTTTTGTACATATGTCTGATGCTTATGCTTTGATTGCTTTACTAGCTTGACATCGTTGTTCCTTGAACAAAAATCATTAATTTTTGTAGACTGAAGTCTCTTCCTATGGTTTTACTTGTTAACTTTGAAATTTCATAAACGTTTTTATAAGAGTATTTATAAATTAAATGTTGCAAAGTAGCTAAGTAGGCTAGTAATAATCATTAATACATAATAGTGCATGCTATGACCTAGGCACTATTTTAAGAGCTTTATATTTAATCCCTGTAACCAGTTTATGAAGTAGATACTATTACTATCTCCATTGTCAGATAGGGAACTTGAGGCTTAGCCAGGTTTCACAACTGCAAGGTCATTTAATACGTGGTAGAGCTAGGTTTAGATCTAGGTAATCTGACTCCACAGTCTGTGCTCTTAACCTCTGCACTCTTTATTACACGTAAGAAAGAAAGTCTATGTGGACTGTATGAAATTGGTTTTTTGCTGTTCAAACTTTGGATATTAATTAAACATGGTGTTATCACATCCTATTTGCAGGTTCACTTGACTTTTTTTTTATATGTGCGTATTCCTTTTCAGTTTGTCTCCCAGTCTAACTGCCAGCAGTTTCTGAACACTGTTTGGTTTGGACAGATGTCAGGTTATCGACGTAAGCCCACCTGTAAGAAGATAGTGACTGTTTTAACAGTTGGCATCTTCTGGCCACTTTTGTCACTTTGCTATTTGATAGCTCCCAAATCTCAGTTTGGCAGAATCATTCATACACCTTTTATGAAATTCATTATTCATGGAGCATCATATTTCACATTCTTGCTGCTACTAAACCTATACTCTCTTGTCTACAATGAGGATAAGAAAAACACTATGGGACCAGCTCTTGAAAGGATAGACTATCTTCTTATACTGTGGATCATTGGTAAGTACCAAGTTCATTTGAAAGGCTCTGCCCATTAATTCTCCTTTGCTTGGTGGCATTATAAATATCTATATTCAGTTCGTAATTTTATACTATTTACACATCAAGAATTTGAACACTTTTATGATCACTGAAGACTTAACTAACATTTTTACAAAAATAAATGTTCCTGAACTTGATGATAAGGGAACAGAGCTCTTACTAGTTAATTACATGGAAGTTAAGATTTTTTATTATCAGTCTCTAAAATTGTTTATGATTATTAAAAACAAATTTTGCTGATAAATACTCTTTTTGATATAAGATGGTGAACCTAGTCTTATGTATTTTGGAATGTAATATATTTTATACTTGGTTGAATTTTAAGAGTTAAGTATTTTGTTTTATTATATAATTAGTTTTCCTTTTAAGAACCTATGAATCTTTGTAGTTACATTTTTCTGGTTACTCACTCTGTAAATCAGTTCTTTGTACTGATAGCCAGATCTCTTGAGAAATTACAGGGTTTATATATATATGTATATGTATATATATATGACATTTAATTTGTGAAATTGTTTTTTATTAAGTATTAATGCTGTATAATGAATATTTTAAATAACCTTCTGCTGCCCTTACCCCTTTTTTTTGATGGGGGTGAAAGGTAAAGAGTTCAGGTGTAATTGTGTTGTCTACTTATAGACTTTTAATGACATCTCCTTCATTTCCCTTTGTATTTCATCCTTGTTTTGATCTTCAGCATTTCTGACTTATCTTTCTACTATTTGCTACAGAGTAAAAGGATATTGAAATTTAGTCTTTTCTGTGGTATAAAACACTGATTAATATGTTTTTGATCATTTCAATTATTACATAATTTGAGAACAGGTAATGTAAAATGTTCACCTTTAATTCTCAGCTATAAAATTAATTTGCATATTTGAGATTTTATTTTTATTTGGAAATTAATTAATCTTAAATAACTTGATTTCAATCAGAGTTTTACTTTTAGCACTGTTCAATCCATGATACGTTAATATTTAAAATTAGGTAGATAAAACAGACTTCCAGTCAGATGGCAGAGTAGGTATACCATGTGCTCACCTCCTCCCTTGACCACATCAAAACAACAACAAACCTACACAACAGCCATTATTGAGAATCACCTGAAGCCTAGTTGAACAGAACACTTGTGATTAAGAATATAAGAAAGAAGCCACATCGAGACCTGTGGGAGGGATGGAGACCACACACTGTGGCAGCTAAGAATCAGAAGGCTGTGGAGGTTCCCCCTGAGGAGCAAAGGGTCCCAGCCTCACATGACACCCTAGCCTGAGGCTCTAGTACTGGGAAGAGAAGTCCCTATAAGTTCTGGTTGTGAAGACCAGCAGGGATTGTAGCTAAGGGGATTATTGCTGAGTGAGAAGGGGGGCTTCTAGAATCCCAGGCTTTCCTCGTGAAGGGTCCACCTGAGGACTTACCTTGCTGACTGACTCACTGGCTCCAGTACTAGGGCAGTAGTCAGGGGTATACTTGGAGGAACTGGATTGTCTGACTTAAGGGCAAAGGCTGGAAAGGCCACTTTCTCCCAGTCAGAAATGCTAGCAGAAGCCATTGTTCCTTTGTTGAGCCCTCCCCGACCCGAGCTGCAGGTGCAGACAGGCTCTCTATCTGAGTCTCAATTGACCCAGCTAACACTGCTCACCCTGTCCTGGTGATTCCCTAAGTCCCTGCCCCACCCATCTGGAAGGTCTACCCAAGCCTCTTCCCATGGCTTTTCCATACAAAAGGCCTGTCTTGGCTCATGCTACTGACTTTCCTAAAATCTTTCAAAGGTTCACAAAACTCAAACAAGCAGCATCTGAACTTGGCCTGTCATGTGTCTCTTGCTAAGCAGCCTCAAGTCTGGCACTAGTGACATCCAGCCTTGGGTCACAGCTTAGCCTCTCCCAAGTACCTCAAAGCCCAACACAAACAGCAACATCTGCAAATGACTTCATAGTTTATAACAAGTGGCTTCAAGCAGGTCACAGGCAGTAGCTAACCCTGGCCTGCACCAGCACCCCTCTGAAGAGGTTCCAGAACCAACACATGCAGTGGCCAGCATCAGAGCACACCAGAGCACGATCCAATCATCTCTACTCGAGACACACAGAAAGGGTGAACATGGCAGGCACCAGAGCCTTTCTAGAGTGTATTCTACTTTGTAGTTTCTGCTCACACACAACATCTCCTTCCCTGGAGTCATGGCCAGCCCTCATAACCAATCAGCCTCATGGGCAGTCTCTCCCTTTTACATGCCAGCAGTAATCAAGGCTCAGCTACAACAAGAGGACACACACAACCCTCACAAGGGACACACTTGGAGCACGAGCCAGGTGATCAGGGAGAATTCACCGCTGAGGCCCTAGGAACACCTACTACATAAGGCCACTCTACCCAGACCAAGAGACATAGCAGCTCTCCCTAATGCATAGAAACAAACAGGGGAGCAGCCAAAATGAGGTGATAAAGAAATGTAGGCCTAATGGAAGAACAGAACAAAACTACAGAGAAAAACTTAAAAAAAAAAAAATGGACAAGCAACCTAACAGATGCAGAGTTCAAAGCACAGGTTACAACAATGCTCAGTGAATCTAGGGGAAGAGTAGACCAACTCAGTCAGTACTTCAACAATAAAATGGAGATAAAATAGAGATAGAGAATATAAAAAAAGAATTAGTGAAATGCAGAATACAATAACTGAAATGAGGAATATGTAATAGGGAGTCAACAGTAGAATAAGGAAAGCAGAGGATCAAATCAGCAATTTGGAAGACAAGGTAGCAGAATATACCCAATCAGAACAGCAAAAAGAAAAAGTAATATTTAAAAATAAGGATAAGTTAAGAGGGCTCTGGGACAACATCAGGCATACTAACATTTGCATCATACGGGTACCTGAAGGAGAGGAAAGGGAGAAAGAGATATTAAAAACTTATTTGAAGAAATGACAGAAAACTTTCCTAACCCAATAAAAGAAGGAGACATACTAGTCTGGAGTCGCAGAGTCCCAAGCAGAATAAACTCCAAAAGGCCCATGCCAAGACACATCTTAAGTAAAATTAAGCAAAAGGTTAAAGACAAAGAATTTTAAAAGCAGCAGGAGAAAAACAGTTACCTATAAGGGAGTGCCCATAAGACTGTCAGTTTCTCAAAAGAAACTTTGCAGGCCAGAAGGGATTGGCCCAAAATATTTTAAGTGATGAAAAGCAAGGCCTACAAGCAAGATTACCCAGAAAGGCTGTCATTTAGAATTAAAGGAGAGATGAAGAGCTTCCCAGACAAGAAAGAGCTAAAGAAGTTCACCACCACCAAATCAGTATTATAAGAAATGTGAAAAGAGTCTTCTTGAAGAAGAAGGAGAAGGAGGAAGAAGGGGAAGGAAGTGGGAGGAGGAGGAGAAAGATAAAAATGTTAAACAATGAAATCTTGCCATTTGTACTAACATGGATGAATTGGGAGGGTGTTGTGCTGGGTGGGGTGGGTTGAACCGAGAAAGACAAATTCTGTGTGATTTCACTTATATGTAAAATCTAAAAAATGCTAAATGAACAGGCAAGGCAGAAACAGACTCATAGATACAGAGAATGTTTGGATGGTTGCTGGATGGGAGGGTGCTAGGGGAACAGGTTAAAAGGGGGAAGGGATTAAGATATACAAATTGCCAGTTAAAAACAGTCATAGGGGTGTAAAGAAGGATATAGGGAATATGGTCAATAACATTGCAGTGACTATGTTTGGTGCCAGATGGGTACTGACTTATAAGGGTGAACATTTCCTAAGTTGTACAATATAAATATCTAATCACTATGTGTACAACCGAAACTAATATAATAGTGTATGTCAGCTGTAATTGAAAAATAAAAGGTATTAAAAATAAAATTAGGTATATAAAGTAAAAATAATATACATCTGAACTTTAGGTCAAAGGCTATTAAATAATTTCTTATTAATATTTCCTTTTTCTTTGTTTCTGCTACTTTTTCTAAAATGGCATTTTTAATTTAGTAAATAATTTATACTTTATCATATGTATTTCCAAATTGCATTGTTATAGATCTTTTCAGTGTGAAATTTGTGTACATTGTTATTTGAGTAAGTTAAAAAATACTGGGCTGAAAGAAATCTCTTAAGAACACTTCCTCTATTCATTTGGGTGTCCAACCTTAGGCGTCTCTGGGCCACAGTGGAGGAGGAAGAGTTGTCTGGGGCCACACATTAACTACACAAGCACTAACAAAAACTGATGAGCAAAAAAAAGGTTTTCATAAATTTACGATTTTGTGTTGGGCCGCATTCATAGCCATCCCGGGCCACATAGTTAAATCTGAAACTATTTCTAAAAGATTGTTGTACATACTTCAGTCATAAAGAAAGGAAGTTTTATATTGTTTATTTACAACCTACTGTTTAAATGGTAACGAGAAAGATAGAAAATATTTTTTGTTTTATAAATAAGATTCAGTTTACCCAAGTCTTTGTAAGAATCAAATTATAGTTATATTTCCTAGCAGCGAGCAAACACTCATTGAATTTGGAGCACTTCCACTCTGTGGATAGAATAAACATGCTGCTGTCACTGAATTTGGCAATAATGGTAAAACTATGGCTACTTCTTTTTAATCATGGTGACCCTGTTTTCAATACCATTATTGCATGCACACACACAATATGATTTATTCTGCAATCATATTCTGCCTCAGTAGAACAGTGAAATGTGAGGTAAGCCAGTAAAATTCCTGAAATTATTTTACTTCCCTCAGCACAGCTTCTGCTTTAAACATTTAGATCTCAATAAACCTTGCCAAGGATGTCTTCTAAGCCTGTTACGCAAGTAGATTACTGTGGGCTTTCTTAAGTTCATAATCTGAACGTGGTCTGAGGAAACACAGAGGAATGGTTTGCCTGCTTGTCAAAAGTCCCTCCTTGGCTCAGTTTATCTCACGCCAGGAGCACAGCGAGCTCTGACTCATGGTGACTGACTTTTGTACATTTGTTTCCTGTTTGTTTTCTTAGCCCTCCAGAAAAGGTAGGGTTAAATGATAAAAATTAAGGTAGGGAAAAAGAAACTGTGTTGGTGAATGCAAGAATATGAATGGTATCCTTTCTTAATTTTTTACTGTTAGAATATACTAGAACAGCTACTATAAAACTGTACTTTAGAAAATGGCATACCTACAACAAGCACGGGCAGAAACACACTGGGCCCAACACTCATGGAGCCTGTGGTCTAATTAGGGCAAAAACAAACAAACAAACACAAAAAAACCGCACCAAACAGAATAACTTGAGAATCACACATAAATTCAAAATCTCAAATGAGTTAAGTGCTACTAAGTAAATAAAGGTCAGGGAGCTGGGAGAGCAAGCATATTTATTATAAGGGTGTTTCAACCTAGTCAAAGGGATTGGGAAGGCTGTCCTATGGAAGTGCTAAATGAGCTAAGATAGAAAGTGTAAATAGGAGTCAACTAGGAGAATTGGGAAAGCATTCTAGGCTGATACAAAGTCAAATTCAGAGGCCCAGTGGCAAGAGGAAACATGGTACAAAGAAGGAACCGAGGAAAGGCTGCAGCAAGGGAAGTGGAATTGAAGGGGAAGCTGTATAAACAGGTATGCTCCAGGCCATGGAGACTCGCGGGCCATGTTAAGTAATTCTGACTCTACTAAGAACAATGGGAAGCTATTGCCAGGTTTAAGTAGATGATTGACATGATCAGGTTTGCCTTTTGAAAGATCATCTGGTTACAGTGTGGAGAATGGGTTGGGAGGGTAGGACTGTAGCAAGAGTAGATGGAGGGAGACCAATAGGACGCTGTTGCAGTACTCCGGTGGGAGCTGGGGTGTCTTGGATTTGGGGATGTGATAGGAAAAGAGATAAAGAAACAGACTCGAGAGATATTTACAAAGTGAAGCCAATACAACATGGAAATACATATTATGTAGAGGGTGAGGGAGGGGGAAATTATTAAACAACTTAGATATTTTGGTAGAGTACTAGGTTTGGAGGTTTGTGAGTGGGTATATGTACAGTGCGGTTCTGGGTAGGCTGAAATTGCACAGTCTTCGAGACATCCCGAAGAGATGTCCATCAGACATCTTATTCTGGAGCCGAAGAGGAAGTCTAAACTTGAGTTAGCCATTGTGAATGAACTATGGTCATGGATGTGACATTGGGGAAAGCACACAATTAGAAGAAGAGAGGCCCTAGGACCAAGCCTTGAGGAATCCCAAAATTATACAATTACAGTTTACTAATTTTTGTTTCTAATTCTAAAAAAAACAAAAACAAGAAGGCTCCTAAAATACAGTACATTGATTATGTAACAATTGCATTGCTTATAATAGTTTAAAGTGACTTTGTTCTTCCAGTCCGATTCGGAAGAATGAAATATGTTGTGTATTAGCTTTGTTCTCGGTGTGGGGTATGCCCAGGGGATGGGAAACGGCCTGACTGTGGCACTTACTGTTCTTCCATGTGTCTCTGCCTTTTTTGACCAAAAATCTTCTCTAATTCATGTTCTGATTTTAGCCAAGAGTTCCCTTTAGGTATAATATTGCATTTTACAGAATGCAATTCTACTTATTTTTGTAAGCATTTGTGGGGGGGGAGTGTTATAGTGTCACAGTGTTTGAGTTAATAAAATGTACACTATTTGGTTTAACATTTTCAGATAGTTCATTATATTTTCTTTTTTTCTCCCCTGTTACCTCTTCATTTAAAATAGCTACTCATCCAAGTGGAATTCTTTCTTTTTAAAAAAAAGATTTTATTTATTTACTTTTAGAGAGAGGGGAAGGGACAGAGTAAGAGAGAGAGAGAGAAACATCAATGTGTGGTTGTGTCCCCCCAGGGACCTGGCCCGCAACACAGGCTTGTGACCTGACTGGGAATCAAACCAGCGACCCTTTGGTTTTCAGGGTGGCACTCAGTCCACTGAGCCACACCAGCCAGGGCCCAAGTGGAATTCTTAAAAGTGCTTTTCTTGTCAGATCTGCAAATATTTGTAAATGTTTTTCTATATAAAATATGGTTACTGTATAATTAAGATGTTATGAACAGAATTTTTCAAGAATGCATCATGTTTCCCAGGGGAATTATTCTCCCTTCTAGGAAGAAGAGAATGATTCTGATTGACTTAACTTGATCTTCACCCACATGTTATGTTACAACACTGTTCTGTTGTTACTTTATAATCTTTTAAAAATATCTTAATGTAGGAATGTATCATAAAACTATCCTGGATTACATTATTGTTCTCTGACACTCCTAGGAATATATAACTATGGAGGAATCTCTGGCCAAAAATGAGGAAGTTTTGTTTTGTTTTTTTGTGTGTTTTAGCTGTTTATGTTTATTCACTTAACATATATTTTTGATCACCTACTATGTATCAGATGCTATTCAGGACATTTACATTTAGGACATTGGTTAATAAAACAGATTCTTACCCTTGAAGAGCTTACCCCAAATGAGGGGAAGATAGTTAATAATAGACATACTAAGTAAACTGTACCCAATGCTTAAAAAGGATAAGTACTAAGGGGAGAAATAGAGGTAGAGTCGGGGGGTTGGGAGCATGGGGTTTGCAATTTTAAATGGAGTGATAAGAGTAGGTGGTGGCAAAGGCATGAAGTGAGGGTGTTAGCCAAATGGGTGTCTGGCTGAGGGGCTCCTAACCAGAGGGAAGTGCCAATGTGAAGGCCTGCAGGCAGGAGTCTTGTGTGTTGCAAGAACAGCAAGCAATCAAGGAGGCCAGTGGGACTAGAGAAATAGAAGGAAAGATAGGAGAGGAGGTCAGTGAGGAGAGGTCATGTAGGGCTTTGCAGTCCATTGTGAGGAATCTGGTTCTGACTGAATGAAATGATGTAAGGGAAGGTGCAATGCCCACCCTGCATGATCAACAGCAGTGATTTGGGGTTTGAATTCATGCTTGTAGGACACAATAGGCAGAAACCTGGTACCAGGTGTACTTAGCTTTGTAGGGTACAAACAGGAAGTACAGCATGACAGCTTCAATACATCTTTGTTAGCGGTTCTTACAAAAGTTTGGGACTGCTTCAAAACCTCATAGCAGGCACGCTCAGTTATATGGGATGTAGCCATCTGGATGTGTGTGGGCTACTCCAGCTAGAGAAACCTCAAATCTAGGAGGAACTGTATTTTATAAAGCGTAAGTGTGTAGCTCCCATGACAAGCACACTTGTAAGTTAAATGAGACATCACAGAGAAGCTGAGGCCTGTGTTTCTCCACATTTTTAAATACTTGCTGTGTATACCTTCAGGGTCTTTGAGTTCACTTAGAGTCTTCCTGATCCAGATATAGTTTCTCAATCAGTGGTTGTTTCTATAATGTTGAGCACAGCTGTCCTTCCATATTTTTCTTAACATAGTATGCTTCCAAGGAAGTCACTTTAATAGATGATAGTATGAGGTTATGTTCCCATGGAGAAAGAGTTCTGACCTGCAGAGAATCCTTTCTCCTTTGAGAATTACTACTGAGTTTTGAGGAGAAAAGTTACACTTGACTTTTTAAAAGGATTACTCTGGTTGCTATGTTGAGAATAGATTTTAGGGACATTGGAGTAAAGGAAGGGAGACCACATAGGCTATTAAAGCAATCCAAGCAAGAGATGATGGTGGTTTGAAGTTGAAGTGGTAGTGAGAAAGGTTAGATGCTAAGTATATTTTGAAAGTAGAACCAAAAGGTTTTGCTACTGCATTGAATGTGTGGTTTAAAAGAAACATAAGTCAAGGTTGATTCAAGGACATTAGGATGGAGCAACTAGAAGAATGGAGTTGCCGTCCAATGGAATGAAAGTCTTCAAGTGCAGTGAATTTGGGGGCAGAGATTAGGAGTTCAGTTCAGACATGCAGGACATCCAGTTGGAGACATAGAGCAGCCAAGTACCTACAGAAGTAGAATTCAAGGGAGGTTTAGAGATATTTTGTATTATATAAATACAGGGTGAGTTTAGAAACAAGTTTGGAAGTCTGCCACACATGTATTTAAAGCCGTAAGACTAGGCTGGATGAGGTCACTGGAAGAGTGAGTATAGGTGAGAAAAGAACTGAGCCTTTGAGATGTGTGTCTGTGGGGCATCAATTTATTTATTTATTTATGGGCTTGTTGACCTTACTCCCTCTCTGTGAAAGATATTATATGAAATTTAAGGTTATTTTGTTTTGAACTTTAGAATTTTTACTGAAAAGTTATTTGTCTTAATGAGGCTATAGCTGATGCAAATGTTATTTATTTAATGCTTTGAGTCTTAAAACATTTTTCACTTTATTATTGAATTAAGAGAGCATTATCTGATTTTTTCCTTTTTTTTTTTTTTTTTTAGGGATGATTTGGTCAGACATTAAAAGGCTCTGGTATGAAGGGTTGGAAGACTTTTTGGAAGAATCTCGTAATCAACTCAGTTTTGTCATGAATTCACTTTATTTGGCAACCTTTGCCCTCAAAGTGGTTGCTCACAACAAGGTGACTATTAGCTGTGTCAGCTGGAGGCACGAATGAAGTTTATTTAGGAAGAACCTGGTTAGATACCTAGCTACCTAATTCAGAGTTACGTTGGCTCAAGTCTGTATCTGATGTGTTTTCATTTTAAACCTGTCCCTGCACGAGGGCCTAGTGCTCACGGCTGCACTCCTTCCAGTTTAAAGGAGGTGACCCACCTTTAAATGTTGGTTACCTACTATATGTCAGGCACCATGGTTGATACTCACTATACTGTATCTCATTTTATCCTCACAGAGGCTCTATGAGACAGGTGTCCTTATCCCCATTTTTCAAAAAAGGAAAATGAAGTTCAGAAATATTGAGTAACTTGTCCAATACCACACAGTAAGAAACCAAGACTGGATTTAAATCCAGGTCTGTCTAGATGTTTTCTTTCTACCAAATGCTGATTCCTCATGTCTGAGCTAGGTTTATTTACCTCATTAATCTGTAGGCACTTAAAATGAAAACACAAAGTTACTTAAATTAATTAGCATTAGATATCTTCACATCTGCCAGAAAAAAAACTTAAATGAATGCAATTCACTATATAGTATTTCACACATTCCAAAATATGATTTATTTTACACAACTTAAAAAGTAATGTATATGTAATTATTTTTCCAATGCCTATGTTAAATTTAGAAATTGACAAATATCTAGCCTTATTGATATCTTCCAATTTTACTTGTATAAAGATTTATGCTTCCCCTAGCCCAGAAAAGGTAATAGATTTTATGTTAACTAAAGATATGGTGTTTTCTGGATTTTTGGACCAATTTATAGACTATAGGAAAAGTGAACTGGTTATCTAACATCATTTTATTTTATTAGAAACTCTGTTCCTTTAAGTAATCAGCAGTATGGAACATGTTTGTTAGATGTCTTCAATGACCAGAGTTATGAAATTACTAAGAAATAAAAATTGGTCATATGTAGATATATGGTTCAAGAAAGAGTTGAGGGTCATTGCTTTTTTAGACTGCTCTCTTTAGTTGTCAAAGTGGGGTGCTTAGATCATATATTAACCAAACCAGAACATTTTGAGAATTAAAGGGAACAAATAGTGTTAATGATTGTACCAGGATAACTGGTTTATAGTTTGAGACTATCCCAGGCAGTTGGAACTCGCAGCCACTCCATGTCTGGGCATGACGCACCCTCTCTGCCGTGGCATTTAGAAGGAATAAGACTTTCTCCAGTTCATTCTAGAATCCAGAGTCAAGGGGCCAGGTTAATTTAATATGATAGCTAATAAATCAACATGTAGACATATTTTAAATTTGTGTTGTAGAATTTAAGAAAAACTAGCAAACATTTCATTTGTAAAATGTTCAAGGACAGTTTTTAAAATTGTTTAATTTTTTAAAACCTAACAATTTCTGAGAAAACCTCATATAGAGTAATGACATTGCCTTATCTATGTAGAAATCTTTTATTTAGTTAAAACAGTGTTATTTCTATTAAAAGAAGAAAAACTTTATAAAACATAAATGGTGATCTCCCACAAGGAGACATAATTTAAATAGGTTTTTTCCCCCAAGAATTGCAGTCTGTTTCTGTTTTCCTAAATTGAGAGATCTATTTACCTTTGGCTTTTCTTCCTGACTTCAGTTTCATGACTTTGCTGATCGGAAGGACTGGGATGCGTTTCACCCTACACTGGTGGCAGAAGGGCTTTTCGCATTTGCAAACGTGCTGAGTTATCTTCGTCTGTTTTTCATGTACACGACAAGTTCTATCCTGGGTCCATTACAGGTGAATAAATAACATTTCTTAAAGGCTATTTGTTAGATGTCATCATTATTAATATCTTTTTGCTTGTCCACTGGAACATTGTTCTCTCATGATGTTAAAGCTAACCTTTGTTTTTGAAAATAATTAACAATTGGAAGGACACAGTGTGTTCACCTACTTTGCTTCTGACTTAATGATAATCCTTAGCTTTCAGTTATTGAAACTTTACTAAACTGTGGCCCATTGTCTGGCTCTTCCTCGTCCACGGACATAGATAGGTTTTAAATATACTTATACTTCAGACATTGAAGGGACATAAAAATCTGCTTCTTACCAAAATGAATCTCACATTTAAAGTTTTAAGTGATACATATAAGGGAGGTGTTGTGTAAACAGAATGTATACTATGTGGGTTTGAAAATATGTAAGCTCAATTTTAAAAAATACTCCTTCCCTTTGTTTAATAAGTATTAAATGGGGTAAGTTGAAAAATAGCATACTTAGAGCTAAAAAAATTCACAGAATTCATATAGTCCAGTTTTCAGATAGTATATTATAGATGAAGAAACTGAACTTTTGGGATGTTATGTGATTATTATGCATGAGAGTCCAGGGCTAAATGCTTACTTTTTTGCAGTAAAGAAAGGACTCAAAAGTGGCTGAATTTACCCCACAGATTTTAGTACTTGATTGTTTTATAGAAAGTGATATCCTGTTATGTGATTGGCTCTACATATACTTTTAAGTTATAAATCTGAAAATCTGAGCAATATTTGTTTTTTCTTGATAAATGAAAATTTACTAACAATTTTAGGTTCACTTTTATATTTTTCAAGGAGATATTTTTTGGAAACTAAGATTAAAGTTATTTTTATCATAATTAAAAATTTTTTTATTGTTGCTTAATTACAGTATCTCATATTTAAATACAAGGCAACATTACCCTTTCCCAAGATGTGAAAATAAAATGTGTGGGGGAGACCTGATGTGATTTGGTTTGTGCTGTTTCCTGAAGTGTGACTCCCTTAACCAGGTCTGACGGAAATAAGTTTGGGACACACTGCATTCCGTATACTTCTTTTGTGAATTCGCAGTTCACATTATTCTAGTAAAGTCTGTGAGAAAGAAGTAAAGAAACTTGTTTAACCTTGTTCAAACTTCATTACTTATATTCATTTAATGCCATACCCATCTTTCACAAAATATGCTAATAAGGTCTCTGTTTTCCTCCAAAATATAGTATGTGAAACACCAATTTGAACCATCTTTTATTTTTATTTAATTTTGCCACTAATATCTTCCATGAATATTTTAAGCAAGAGTTAACAGTAATTTTACAAGCATGTTGATTTTTTAAAGCTAAAAACTGATGGTATCACTCAGTTCATGTACTAGAAATTTCTTTATAAATTTCTTTATAAATTTCTAGAGTTAAAAAGGAGAAAGTATATTATTATTATTTCTGAGTTATCAAATGATCTATTTGTTCTCCCAAGTCTCTTCCCCAAAACTATAGATGTGTACACAAAAACTGCGATTGTCATTTCCACTGCTGACTGTATTTTCTCTTCCAGCCTGGGAAATTCATAGGGTTCTAATAGCCATGGAACTGACAAGTAGTTTTTCAGGCCTACAAATATTTATTGTGTTTCTATTTTTTAAAATGCCTTCAGGTTAATCATAATACACATTTAAACATTATGATCTAGTTCAGCAGATGAGTTCTTAAAAATTATCTTATTAAGATATAATTTGCATAGAATAAAATGTACCCATCTCGACTGTATAGTTTGATGAGTTTGGCAAATGTATAAACTTGTTTAATTACCACTATAATCAAGATATAGAACATTTGCATTCCTCCTAAGAGTTTCTTGATGCCTTTTTGCATTTAGTATTGGATTGGCCAAAATATTAGTTTAATTTTTTTTCTGTACAATGTCTTTAGTAGTGCTTAGTTGTCTTTAATTTCATTGGAAACAATTTTGCTAGATTGTATAGTGACAGCTGCATTTAAAAAAACTTATCAGTATTGGCGAATTTTCATGCAGCCATTGTAATATTGAAGGTGGAAGAAGATATGCAACTTTTTAGTACATTATGCTTTATTATTTCAAGAAAGATAAAAACACAACTGAAACACAAAAAAAAAGATTTGTACAGTGTATGAAGAAAGTGCTGTGACTGATCAAAAGTATCAAAAGTGGTTTGTGAAACTTCTTGGTACTATTGACATTCTAGCCAAATAATTCTTCACTGTGAGGCTGTCTTATCCATTGGAAGATGTTCAGCAGCACCCCTGGCCTCTACCTACTAGCAGCTAATAGCAGGAGACAACCAACATACTCAAAATATCCAAATCAATAAAGTTATTGGTGAAAATGAAAAATGTGTCTTTTATTTCATGGAAAAAACTAAATAGATTTTCTGAACTACCCTTGTCTCAGGCAACCATTGATTATATGCCTGTGGTTGTCTAATGTAGGCTAGTCTGAGAACTGAAGGATTTGAAAGTACAAGTAGAATTAATGGGGTGTAACAAAGTAAACCTTCCAGACAGAAAGTCATCTCCATCTTTAGAGTCTGACTGGTTCTCATGGATGCAGCCTCCTTGCTCCAAGTCATCACACCAAGGGGAAGAGCAGAGGGCAAAAGGCAGGTAGCCTGGGCCTGCTGTCTTTCTCTTTTTATCAAGAGAACAAGTACTTTCCAAATACTTCCACTTGTAACTCATTGGCCAGAATTTGTGCATGTGACTATTTGTAGCTACAAGGAAGTCTGAGGAGATAAGTACTTTTAATTGAGCTTATTTTCCCTCAAGAAACCAAGATCTTGTTAGTTAGGAAGAGAGCAAAAATAGATATTGAATGGGAACCTGTAGAGTCATATTTTCAGGCTTTTTTAAAAAAGCTTCCATATAGAGTTGTTTTCTAATGTAGTCTTATTAACATGACAGATTTGTATAACATAATGGTACCAATGTATTCTAGAGTAATTTTATGTATAACATTTATAACTCCTTTTTTTATATTTCCTTCATCATAAGTAAGAAACTAAATCAAACTAGAGTAATCCAGTTATGAATATAAAACTAAAATAAATGTGGAAAGGAAATTGACAATGTTAACTACTTTAGCAAAAGTGCAACTTTTCCCCTTTATGTACATAACCTACTATTTCAGACAGTGTTTTTATGTAATAACTGCAGTTGTTTGTTAAATTTACCCGCATTTCCTACTGTTTTTTTCCTTTCAAATCTTTGCAGATTTAGAAGTTAACAGACTTTTATTTTAACTGGTTATATAATCTATAGTAAAGGCACAGATCTCTCACTTTGTTAGGATAGGACCATATTTTATCATTCGAATGGAGACACTTTGGGGAAAGAAAGGGATGCCATTAATTATACTAAGTTGGAGCAGTAACCATGAACTGGGAATGTCCTGGGCAAATCAAGGTGTTCGGACTATCCTGTGGTGGAGTATAAAAAACGATCCTGTACTCATCAATGACTGAATCCTTTATTTTAACATTTGACATTTTTTATGATTGTATTTATTATATTCGTGGCTTATATTATAGGCCACCATTGAAAAGTGGCCTTCTACAATCAACCTACTTACTTTCTAGCCATCTCTCACTATACCTATCCCTTTGTCCCTTCCTGAAGTGGTTCTCCATTTGGGTAGAGAGCAGTCACTAATCCCACTCATGTTCAATGGTTTCCCACTTCCATGTCGTTGTTCATGTTGCTACTGTGTTTAGAATATCCGAGCCATGTCCTCTGCTTGTTGAAATTTTACTCACTCGTTTAACCAACACATATTGAGTACTTGGAAGGTACTGGGCTCTGGGGATACTAAAATACATAATAAGCTGCAATATCTCCTTAAGGAGCTCATATAGTTCACTGAGGGTTGAGGGTGATAAGCAGTGGCATTTAGAGCAGTAAATGTTGAAATACAGAGCTTCGGTCCAAGGCATCAGAGAAGACTTCCCAGAAGAGATGGCACTGGAGTGAAGCACTGGAAGATGAGTAGAGAGGGGGTGGGCGGAGGGTGGTCCAGGAGTGGGCAACTGTGCCAGGGTTAGAGTCCTCTCCACTGAAAACCGATCCCTACACCTCTACTCCATACGAAAGGAATACTCCATCTGATGCACTTCATACTTTGAACCTTTAATGAGCACTTCCTTAAAGCTTGTCTTAATTGTAAGCCAATTTAAATTTAGTTTGTCTTAAATTGTAAGGTTCAAAGTTTCTACTAAATTAAAGCTTCATTAAGGATAGGGGAATTTTCTCATTTGCACTTGACTCACTCCTTTGCCATAGCTACTTAATCCGTATTTGTTGAATTTAAAAACTGGTGCTGATTACTGTGAGAAAAAGAAAACAGCTGATGGAGAAATAGGCCTCTATCCTAGCTGTTGCCATAGCTACGTTATTCGGAATAATAACAGCAACTAGCATCTACTGGACATTTTGTGTGCACTGAGCACTGTGCTAGGACTTTTGCTTACTTAATCCTCATCACAACCCTTGCTATTTTTATTTCCATTTTACAAATGGCGAATCTATGGAATTGGAGAGGTTAGATAGTTCATAGAACTTATAAGTGGAGTCAGAGTTGAACCTGAGTTTGACTCCAGAGACCAGCGAGCTCTTTGACATTAGCTCCCCTGCTTTTACAAAGGATGTTACATCTGCACCTCAGCAGATGTAACAGGGTAGAATCTATAAATAGCAGTGGTCACAGCACTAATAGCAGTGAACACTGGGGCCCTTAATGTGGATCTTTTTGAAAATTTTTGCTTTCTATTTTTAAATTTTTCCCTTTTATTGACTTCATTGGTGTGACACTGGTTACCACAGTCACACAGCAATTCCACAGCACATCATGTATACACCAGATTGCATGCTCACCACCCAAACTGTTCTAGGACCTTTACATTTATTACCTTGTGTAATCCTCACAACCATTCTAAGAGGCAGACACTTTTATTTTCATTTTACAGAGGAAAAACAGAGGTACACGTTAAGTAACATGAGCAAGGTCACACAGCTGGTCAGTGGTGAAACGAGATTCCCATCCAGGGGCTGTGGCTCCAGAGCTGCGGGTTAACGATGCTGCAAGGCTGTTTCTGTGCTGTACGGTAACACGATTCCCTCATTCACTTTTATTGTCCAACTCTTCTGTGAGCAGGCGTCAATAATTTGTAGAGTTTTAAAATTCCCCGTTTATCCATGTGTTTCCAGTGAATTAAACAACTTTTTAACACTGGTAGTTAGATGGTTAGACAGAAAGGAGAGAGAGGACCACAAAGCTTTCTTGGTAGTCTTCTAGCTCCGTGACTTATTGGGACTTCATCTCTGTGAGTCTCGGGTTCTGGGTCTGTTGTGAGAATGGAACGGGTCAATGTGAACGAGATGCACAGCAGGGCAGCCGGCGCGTGGAAGGCTTTCCCATAAGGTGTTCCCTCACTCCCTCCACAGTCAGTGGAGTTCGCTGTGGCAGAGCTGGAAAATAATGCAAGAAAACTGGAAAAGTCCGTGTAGTGTCTGGCGCCTGAGTGCATACTTTATTCCTAGCAAATTATTAAATTTGGCTTTACTGGATAATTATTAAGTTTAATATAGCATCCTGTGTAGCTCAAAAGGCATATTGTTGTCTTGTGTAATGAGTAAAAAGTGATTTCAGGTATTTTGCATTTGGGGGATGGATATTTTTCTTTTAAGAAGCATAGAATGTGAGAGCTAGAGGGAAACTTATGGGTCCTGTAGTCTAGGGGCTCCGAGCTGGTGAGGCTGCTGCAGGCATCTGCATTATCCAGTTCTGTCCTCACAGACACTGATGAAGTAGATGGGGCTGGTTCTGGCACATTTTTAGCAGCGTGCACATGAGCAGGTCCTGCAGCACTTGGCCATCCCTTTCATGTATCAGGAAACTAAGGCTGGGCTCACACGGTGTTAGAAAGAAGACTTGGTGTACATTGTTAACAGTTGCATCTTTGGGGGATGTATATTCATGTATTAAATCAACAAGCCCTGCTGTATGGAGGATCTGTTCTGTGAGAACCAAATCCTTAATTGTACCAAGTCCCAAATTTTTGATGGGCAAAATAAGGTAAAACCACCAAGGGATGTTTTAGAAAAGCACTCACAAGGAGTTAGAAGCAGGAATTCACTTCTACCTCTGCTGTCTATTAGTTCTGTTCCCTGAGCAGCTCATTGAATCTCCAAGCTTCAGTTTGTCACTTGGAAAAGCAGAGGTAATATTAGCCTTTCCCACCTTCAGGGTAAATAAAAATATGTGATACCTCTTGCAAAATGGTCGAGTTAGATTTATAAAAAGTAGTTATGTATTCAACATTTTAATGAATAAGTCATGCTCTGGAGCTTACTGACATAGTCCCGCCCTTAAACCCTGCTAAGGAGAGACAGACATAAATATTAGTATAAAGTGAAAAATAGTATTTTAGAGATTGAATACAGAGTACTTTGGAGCGTGACAGAGGGGATGCCTGCAGAGTCAGCAAAGTTTCTTGAGGTGAAACTTGATCTGAGCCTTGAAGGGGCGAGAGGCTTGCCCGACCCAAGGGCCAGTGGCGGGAACAGAACCGGGAGTCACACCAGCGGGGCGTGCTTAGAGGGACAGGATGTCCCTTTGTTCTCGGACCACGCATTGCAGTTGGGACGGTGAGGCCTGGGAAGGTAGGACCGGGCCGTGCTCTGAAGGTCTCCGTGCCAGGAATTGGAATATTATCACACGGGGAAAGGAGGCAGGAAGCATGGATGACTCGACTGGGGAACTTTTAGAGGGATAATTACAGCTTTTTCTGGAGAACGACTTGGGAGAATGACTAGAAGTTGTCATTGTTCCTGCTTCCTTGTGTCAATGTTTTCTCTGTTCTGCACAGTGCTCTTCGTGTGAGGCTTTTTGCCTCTTGTTAAAATTTTCTAAGGATGAGTCTTTAGTGGCATTAGCATATCAAAAGAAATGATTCTTCTAGTGCCTCCGTATTTCTATTTCTTCCCAGAAGGATGTGTTCATTTTCAGTCACATAAGCAGGGTAAAAGCACTGTTTTCACCACGTTAATAACATTTGGTGCCACCTGTCTTAGTAGTTTGCTATAACTCCGTTTTTCTGATTACTAGGAAAGATGTATACATTTTTCTCTGTGTTTTAGTATTAACTGCTGTGTAAATTTTAGTATCGATGTTTTAATTACCTTTGTCTTTCCATTTAATTCTTTTTTAAATATATTTTATTGATTATGCTATTACAGTTGTCCCATTCCCCCCTTCATTCCCCTCCACCCTGCACACCCCCTCCCACCTACATTCTCCCCCTTTACTTCATGTCCATGTATCGTAAGTTCTTTAGCTTCTACACTTCCCATACTATTCTTTCTTGCCCTCCCCCCTGTCTATTTTCTACCTGTCATCTATGCTACTTATTCTCTGTACCTTCTCCCCCTCTCTCCTCCTCCCACTCCCCGGTTGCTAACCCTCTATGTGATCTCCATTTCTGTGGTTCTGTTCCTGCTCTAGCTGTCCGCTTAGTTTGCTTTTGTTTTAGGTGTGGTTGTTAATAACTGTGAGTTTGCTGTCTTTTTACTGTTCATATTTTTTATCTTTTTCTTAGAAAGTCTCATATTTCTCAAGTAAAATTGTTAATAAGTCTTAAATAAGTAAACATTTAAGAGAGCATTATTATTATTTTTACAAATAAATAAGCCTTATACTCTTTCTCACACTGAAGTAGATGCACCGTTTTAATGTTTGCCTTCCCCGTAAAGGGTTAATGTGCTCCTCAGGCCAACGTCAGTGCCATGATTCCCACTGTGGGTGCTGTGGGTTGTCCACTCTCAGGAGAGCTAATGTCATGCTTTTAAAGAACAACTTGTGAAGTTTGTGGTTTTCTTATTAAATATTGCTTATCTTCATGTTAAAATTGAATTACTCTTTAAAGCTTCATAATGTTAAATTAGAGCTTCTATTGTATTTTGGGACTAAATTTTTTTAATTAAAATTATAACATCATGCACGGTCACTCATGGAAAAGTCTTTACAGCATCTGCATATTTTTCAAAAGCAATCTTTTCTGAAGTTATTTAAAGCAATTACTGTATTATTGTCATAACTTACTAAGTTCTCTATTAACATGGTACGGCTTTATTCTGGTGTAGCACTGTACCCTGTACATGTACCATGAGTGTAAGCACTCATGGTCTGAATAAGTGATTTCTTTTCCTAGGTGACCCTCACATTTTGAGCTTTCTGATTCTAAAAGCTCCCTCCTTCTTTTGTCAGAATTTTTGCAAGGGGGCCAAGTGAGGTAAGCGTAACACTTTAAAAAGTACCTCGTGGTTCGGTCACATGTGCAAGCCAGGCATATGGGACCTCCCGCTGCTGCAGAACCCGGGCCACTAGCTTTCGGTGTGCCTAAAAAAGTTAGCATGCCCCCTCTCCTTAATTAGCTGGCTCACCTTAGTGGGCTAGAAGGGCGTGGCCCCTGGCTGGCTCTTACCATTTTGTATCTTTGGCAAGTGGCAATGTTGTTCTGGCAGGTTCGTGGTAACTAGGAATTTTATTTGAAGCTCAACTTAATTCTATAAACTTGACCTGGTTAAATTTGAGGAAGGATTATTTTTAAACACTAACATCTGTACTTTAAAAGTAATAAATGCATATAGTAAACATTCAAAGTGAGAAAGTCTACCTTCCAACTCCTAGCCCTACCTACAGATAAGCTTTATTAACGGTTTCTCATGTAAACTTCCAGAGGTTTCCTGTGCATATTAAACATATCTATCCCCAAATACATATGCGATATATCCCTTAAAAATAGAAATGGCAGCAGTTATAGTACTATCCGATAATACTATACATAGTAGTTCGCGGACCCCATTCTGTGCCAGCACCCACAGCTGCACCGTTCTGTTTAACAAACAGCAGTTAGACATTCTCATTCCTGTGCCGACTCTGACTGATGCTGCAGTGAAAATCCTTGTACACACACATCACCTTTGTGTACTTCCTATCTATTGGCTAAATTTGTAGGGAGAGAATTGCTGCGTCCAAAGAGTAACGTCAAATCACCGTCCATATTTGTATGCCAATTTAAACGTCTAGAATGTGTGAAAAGTATTGATTCCCCAGATTTGAAGAAGTATTGAAGAAGAATGAAATTAGAATTGGATAAAGCTTCCAGATGCACTACACATATCTACATTGCAAAAGACACTTATTAATACTAGACCCTCTCATTTGGCTTGCACACATAATGCTTTCTTATAATGGACCCACAGTGAAAGAAAATCAGTTACCTCAGGAAAAGAGATTAAGGCAGTCCTGCAAGAGGAAATGCTGTCCTTGGGGAATTGGCTGCAAAAATTAAATGAAAAAGTTTCTCATATCGATGATATGTTTGTAAACTTTAAGAAGCTATAAACATGAACATTTATTTCTCTTCAGGTTTTAGTCCTTGCAGATTAGGCTTTTTTCTTAAATGTCATGTCTGTACCTTTACCGTCATAGCAACAAAGTCCTCTGCAGACTTGGCAGGAATAGAGTGGCTTTGATTAGGCAGCTGGAGTTTTGATGTTTTCAAAGTGCTAAACTGTCTCAAACCGATGGAAAAGAAACGAGAGTTCGTGGCTCGTATGTGTGTCTTCCTCTTATCTCCTGGCCATTTAATATTTAACATTTTATTTTCCCGATAATTTTAATGAACACCTATGTAATATATCCCACAGATTTCAATGGGACAGATGCTTCAGGATTTCGGAAAGTTCCTTGGGATGTTCCTTCTTGTTTTGTTTTCCTTCACAATTGGACTGACGCAGCTATATGATAAGGGCTATACGCCAAAAGAACAGAAAGACTGTGTGGGCATCTTCTGTGAACAGCAAAGCAATGATACCTTCCATTCGTGAGTGTCTCTTAAAATTTTTAGTAAATATATTTGTCCCTATGGCAGTGATTTTCAACCCTCTTCATCTCATGGCGCACATAAACTAATTTCTAAGATTCTGGGGCATGCCTAAAAACTACTATATTTTTTGTAGTCTGCCAAAATATAGTAGGGATAGTTTTTATTTATTCACACCAGACAGCTGTTGTTGTGTTGGCTGTGGTCATTATTTTATTTGACAATCGAAGGGAGAAGGGGTCGGCGCCCCTGACTAAAGAGTCAGGTGTTTGCATGTTTGAAAAATTCTTGTGGCACAGTGGTTGGAAATCGCGGTTCTGTTGCCCTGTGTATGAATTAGTACCTATAGAAATCGAACTTCAAAGTTTCTTTAAGAAATTCCTTTTAATAAGAATTAAGGAATTCCTTAATTCCTTTTAATAAGAAATACTTATTTTTGTGAGTTATTCAATAGTTATCTATACATTTAGCTTATGAAATAATTAGTAGGCCCCCATTATTCCACGGTCTCCCCCGCCGCAGTCTGCTGAACAGCGGGACCCTTGGTGTTTGGTGCACCTCTGGTTTGTGGGGCGGGTCAGCTCTTTGTCGGTTGTGTGTGTTGCAAGATGCTCAGCACGCCTGCTTCTCGTCATTGTTACAACCAGAACAGTCTCTCATGTTTTTAACACTTGTTCAGAGGTTATTAGAGTGGAAAACTATTAAAGCTTCATGAAAAATTTTCCTCTCTAATTTACTGTTACAATATGTATATACCATAATTATGTTCAGTAAAGAATTGAATAACCAATTGTGAGGTGGACAAAATATTGCCCCACATTCTTAAATAAAGTAATGAAGAAGGGGTGTTGAATTATATATTTGTCGTGTTCCTGTTATGTACCAACTATTCCTCATTTACTTTCATGTCATCTTATTTAAGAAATAAGAGTAAATGAATAATAAATATTCACCTAACACCCTCTATATACCAAACACTGTTCTAAGTGCTGTGTTAATGAAGTATCAGGGGACAAATCTGCTTCATGGAGCTTATATTCCAATGAGATGACACAGACAGTAAAAAGAAATAAAATAAGAGAAATCAAGTACATAGTGTGTTACACACTGATAAGGGCTAAAGTGGTGAAGCTTGGGCTGCGGGGGGTGTACGTGTGAGAGGGTGCAGTTTTAGATAGGGGGTTGGGGAAGGCCCCACAGGAGGTGACAGTCACGTACAGATGTAAAGCTGGTGAAGGATCCAGCAGCTCAGGAGGCATCTGGAGGAAGAGCATGGCAGATGCAGGGAATGGCGAAGGCAAATGCCTGAGACAGGAGTGTGTCTGTCTGCATAGTCGAGGAAAAGCCAGGAGGCCCGTGTGGGTATGATGTAGCAGATCCGAGGGAGCGTTGTAGGAGACGAAGTCGCAAGGTCATGGGGACCCTATAGCACTTTGCTGGGCTTTGTAAGGACTTTGGGCTGTTGGGATAGCCATTAGAAATTTTGTGCAGAGGAGCGACAACATCTAATTAGGCATTAACAGGATCACAGACGCTGCTGTGTTAAGGATGGACAGAAAGTCAGTAAGAAATCAAACAGGAATGATTTCCTTTTGAGCCGACTTCTTGGTTTAAAGTGAGGCATATCTCAACTGCTGGATTCACCTTATTTGTTTTATGAAGTATTATTCTTGAATTATCAATGTTTTCTCTTTGTAATGTGAATATAAATGAATTCATTTTTGCTAATTAATTTCTTTAATTTTCTTTTAAACAAAAATGTGATCGTCTTTACAGGTTCATTGGCACTTGCTTTGCTTTGTTCTGGTATATTTTCTCCTTAGCACATGTGGCAATCTTTGTCACAAGATTTAACTATGGGGAGGAACTGCAGTCATTTGTTGGCGCTGTTATTGTTGGGACGTACAACGTGGTGGTCGTGATCGTGCTCACCAAGCTGCTGGTGGCCATGCTGCACAAGAGCTTTCAGCTGATAGCCGTGAGTGTCCACTCCCCTAAACTGTATTCTCTCCAGACTGCACCACGTGTGTGCAGTGGATGAGGAAACCAAATAATACAATGAAGAATTAATATCACTTTAAATTTATATTTTTTCATGCCAGTAATATATATTAACAGCAAATCTCAAACCAAATTTTTACCTACAAGATGTGTAAACATTTGGACAGTTGAAAATGATTCCTCTTTTTCTGTCCCATCCCCCCATCCTGCTAACCCCAAAAATCCTGGAATTTATTTATAAAAAATTGTGTATTTATTCTTACATGTTTAAACTTTAGTCACCTTCAGAATACTCTTCATTTGATGCAAAATACACCTATTGAGACCATTTTTCCACTGTTTTGTTCAAAACAGTTTTTGAACTCACTGATTTTGATGCCTCTTAGTGCTTCTGTCATTTTTCATTTCACCTCTTCCACATCAGCAAAACATTTCCCTTTGAGGACCTTTTTCCTCTAGGAAAACAAAAAAAAGTTGCTCAGGGCAAGATCAGGTGAATAGGGAGTATGGGACACGGGGGTCCTGCTGTTTTTGGTCAAAAATTGCTGAACACTCAGTGCGGTGTGGGCAGGTGCAGTTGTGAATCAGCTGTCAGGAAATGGGCAACTACGTTGAAAGAGTCTTCAAAAAAATTCACCGAAGCTGAACGCAGCTTCTCACAACAATGCCAGCTGGCACACTGATACAGATGGTTTCTAGAGCACTCACCTAGCCGGGGAAGTCTGTACTGTAAGGGGCCCACCCTCCAGAAGATAATTCTGGTTTTTTGGGGTCCCCCCTCATGTGTGTGCACATGAACTCCCTTGTTCATTTCCTATGCTGCTTTTCATTTGTCTTCTATAGAATCATGAAGACAAAGAATGGAAGTTTGCTCGAGCAAAGTTGTGGCTCAGCTACTTTGATGACAAGTGTACATTACCCCCACCTTTTAATATCATTCCTTCACCAAAGACTATCTGCTATATGATTAGTAGTCTCAGTAAATGGATTTGTTCTCATACATCAAAAGGCAAGGTTAAACGGCAAAACAGTTTAAAGGTAAGAGATTAGAACTGCCACGTGGAAGTTCTAACAATTTCTAATTTTAAAGTTTCATAAGGCATAAATAAGCAGGTTTCTTAAGGCCCAGGACAGATTTTTTAAAAACTCCTGTATCCATAATGCGTGGCATAGGTATAACATAAAATAAGAATTCAACAAATATTTATTTAGAATGAGAAATAGAGCTGCAATTTTTTTCATGAAATCTCGTCTCCATTTTAAAACATTGAAAATATTCAGACTCTCTATTCTGTGAGCATAAAGATAGGCAGCTCATATTTTTATAGTTCTTCTGGAAAGTAATTCAATACATGTTGGCTATAAACCAGAAGTTGGCAAATTTTTTTCTGTAAAGGGCCAGAAAGTAAATGATTTAGACTTTACAGGCTGAAACAAAGTCAAAGATTTATATAAGTAGTAATATAACAAGAAAGAAAATAAATTTCCACTAAATTTTCACTGATGGAATGAATGAATGAATTTTATTTTGGGGGGTAGATAACATTTTTTTTAAATTAGGGTTCAGAATTACTGCTCATTATCAAACTAATAACAAGTGTTCATCTGTAAAAATCATTCTGAGCTCACAGGCCATAAAAAACATGTAATAATAGGTCATTTTGACCTGTGGTTCATGGTTTGCTAATTCTTCCTATAAACTGAGGATTCCTATGACTTTTTCTGAATCAAAATAAGCATAAAAGTGAATGAATAAGACAAATGAATATTCAGACTCTTTGATCAAAAAAAGTGTTAAACGTTATAACACAGTGATAAAAGTGTAGTGGAATAAATGAAGCATTACAAGATACATGTTTCTATCTGTGAATATTTTTTTAAACCCACCTCATTTAAATATTGTTTACGCCCATTGTTAGTACCACATTATTGTTTGTTTTGAAGGAATGGAGAAATCTGAAACAAAAGAGAGATGAAAACTACCAGAAAGTGATGTGCTGCCTGGTGCACCGTTACCTGACCTCCATGAGACAGAAGATGCAGAGCACGGATCAGGCGACCGTGGAAAACCTGAACGAACTGCGCCAAGACCTGTCCAAATTCCGAAATGAAATAAGGGATTTGCTTGGCTTTCGGACTGCTAAATACGCCATGTTTTACCCAAGAAACTAACCATTCTCTAAATTATGTAGAGAAGAATTTTCAATAATAATGGTGAATCTGAAAGACTGTGTGTGCATGACTTGCATTAAGTCAATAAGATATGTCTTGAAATGAAGAATTATGTAAAAGCCATTCTTTAACATATTTATAACATAAATCTGTTATGTAAAATATGTGTAAAATTAGTTTTTTAAAACCCTGTGTTAGTGGCTTTTTGCAGAAGCAAAACAAGTTAGTAGATAGATTTTGTAAGCATGCCGCTTGGTTTCCTAATCTGAACAGTGCTCTAACATTTTTTTTCTGTGTTTAAGGACAGTTATTGTACACATTACCAGAAGGTCCTGTAAATGAAGACTGGTAAATGTGGGCTGATCTCCATCCATAGAATAAGTTGAAATATTGAAGTCTTGGTTTTTAATATCTCTGTTTTAGAACTTCAAGTATATCATTTAAGAGTATACTTTCATCTAAAACTAGTCTATTTTTTAAATTTTATTATAATCCTAAGTAACAAAAAAAAACTTAATGAATATTTGAACCTATTTATGTCTCTATAAATTTAAATTCACTTCAGTTTCATTACTGTTATTTGTTATTTACTGTTATATGGTTGTAATCACTAAATTTTTAATTTTGCTTTTTTCACTTTAATCGTATTTACATATACATTTTCATGTATTGATACAGTGCATGTATATGATTTTTATAGAATTCTATCATTTTGGAAAAATATAGTTAGTAGACTTTATTTATAGCTATAAAATATTGTTTATGTACTTCTCTAAAGTTAGGTATTTGGTGGTTTTTAATTTTTCTTTATCATAATAGTGCTATAATTTTTTTAAGTTGATTAAATGTTCATAGTTATTAAGCTAACCCAAAATAAGGATTTAGAAGGTATTTCTTTATCATGAGTGGTCACAGACTATTTTATTTTTGTAAACATTGGAAGATCCTTTAATGCAAAGATGTGTTTTATATTTGGACTAAGGTTCTTGAGCTTTTCTCCTGCAGTATTTTCCTCAGAGTTTAATATAGCTTCTATAAAAGTGACTTCATTTTATTTGTGAATTATTCTTGCTACTTAAGCTGAAAAGTATTGATTTTTTTAACTGGAGAAAAAACATATTTAATTTTTTTCCATTGTTCATGCAAGGGATGTAGTTCAGATTTTTTCATTAGCTATTGCTTATATACTCTTGCCAGTTAATTCGTTACTAGGTATATAACTACCTTCTTGAGTGAATGTCACGTGGTCACAAGGCCACAAGGTTCAGGTAGCCCTTGGTCTGTAAGCACCACTGATCCAGGGGTCATTGTCTGAGGATATTAGGATTGTGTTTCACCTTACTTTGTACTTTTTGCTTTTTGATTTCCAAATTGTAAGTGTTCCCTCTTTGGGGCAAATTCTTATAAAAATGTTTATTGTAAAGTTATATATTTTTGTCTACAATGGGATTATGCACTTCCCAATAGGGATTTTACATCAGGATTTTTAGTCATTCTAAAAAATAGCTAATTATTAAATAAAAATATTTATGGAGTGCCTACTGTGTGCATGGATTACTTATGAGGTATGTGTTGAATGACAGCATATTTGTAAGAAGAAGAGTGAATAAAACTTGACATTAGATTGTAAATTGACAGAGTCCGTTTGCTATATTATAGAATACTTTTTCTGAGATATAATTCATGTCATCAACTTCACTCTTTTAAAGTATACAACTCAGTGTTTTGTTTTGTTTTGCTTTTTAATCACGGTAAGAAAGGCCTAAAATGCAAAGATCACCTTCAGACCACTTCCTACCTCCAGTGGCAACTGCATGTAATTTTTAAAAACGTTACCCCTATGTTTTATTAAAAGGACAAATAATTAAACCAGCTGCTTACTTAAATGACAAAAGTAGCGTGATTCAGCATGAAGATAAGAAACTCTACAAATCGCCAACAGTAATGAGCTGCAATGCACAGTGGATACAGGGGTCATGCAAAGCAATACACTCTTGTAAAAAAATATTTGAACAACTTTAAAATCCAAATTTTTCTTTAAAATCATTCATGAAAAAGATTCCCAAGTCAGAATTAACACCTAAGTTAAGCATTAGAAGCTGCATTACAGCTGTTCAATGTACAAGGAGACACCCTCTCGGCAGTCATTTCCTTCTGCTCTCTGATTCTCTGTGCTCCCCACTCCCTCGTTTCTTCAGATCCTGGAATCTGAATCTGTTGAACACCTGAAATCTGCTATGATGTTGTGTAAATGTAAATTTTGTTGACCATCTGCAGTTATTAAGCCCGCTGGTAACTAGTTAGTAAATGCCTCCTCTGTTAGTTCTTCACTTACTGCACCTATGTCGTGATTGTTCTACTCATTCCTTTTTCTCCTCCTTTCATAGCCTCTGAATTTCTGATGGTATCATGTTAAAGGTTCTACATGACTCAAACCCTAGACAGGGCAATGAGAATATCTTTTCCGTTGATTGCCTTCCATTTCCCTTGATGGCATTTCACTTGCTTCCGCTGTTGTAAAACTGATGAATTCACATGCATCTTTTGCAATCTTTTCTGTTTCTGTTTCTGTGGCATTTTTTATTATCCTTGCTACATTTGCAGTTTTTATTATCCTTGCTACATTTGCATAAATGCCTTGTTTTCTGAAACTTTCTTTTGAACAATTTGTGTCCTGGTCATTCATGCTGCCAGCAGTACCATTGTGAGACTATATAACGGCTTCCTCCAACATGGTCTGCAGAAATTCCTAGTTGAGAAGCATCTGTTGAGAACTGTAACCATCCACTGGCATGAAATACTGTCCGACCCATGCTGTCAGTGGTGTGCAAGGGCACCCGTCAGAAACGATGTCTAGTCTTTGCCCAGTTTGAACTTCCAGAACAGCCCTGGGTGGCTTCTGTCTCCAATCAGCTGTTTGGTTGATCAGAAAAATTCATACTTAACATTTTTAGCTATTATTATTTTTATAAATACCAAATTTTGAAATAATATGTTCTCACAAAGACATGTATGTGAATGGCATCCCAAACTAAAAACAAAACGTACTTCAACTAGTGAATGAACAAATTGTACATCTACCAATGGAAATCTTTTCAGTAATAAAAAAGAAGTCCGTCAGAGCCCAGCAGAGAAACAGAACATCTAGGATATTTGCCCACACCGTGTGTGATGTGCAGTGATTTGTCCACAGGGATTTAACATACCCAGTTGGAACTGGGGAAGCATTCTCCATGAGGTTGTTTCTGCAGCTAGTGCTGGAACTTGGAGTTCACAGGGTAGGCAGTCGGGGTGGGAAGGCCCATTTAAAGTGGAAAAAACAGGAACAAACTGGAACCCATGAGGACACACTGAGCCTAATGTCACTTCACACTGTCTCTAACCTTGAGGACGTGGCTATCTGGTAGGAAAGGTTGACCTTTGCCAGGGTGCGAAACACACATGTGACCCGGGAATCAGAGAAGCTGAAGGCAGATGCAAGGCAAAGTGGAGCAGTGCAGGCCAGCCTGCCAGCCGGCAGACCGAGCCAACAGGTAAGTTACACGCGTGATCTGCAACACTGCCTCCGTAAAAAACAAGATGGCCGCTGCTTCCCTTCTGCCCTCCAAACCACACGTGAACTGCTCCTGCTGCCTACCCTACTGGAAATGTACAAGGGAGAGAATTCTGGGAGACACAATTCAGCTTGGCCAAGTTGACACAGGAAAAATTACTGATGAATGCCACAACAGATAAATGTTAAAGGCATTATGCTAAGGGGGGACGCTTGTCACAAAAAGCTACATACTATATGATTTCATTTATATGACATTCTAGAAAAAATAAAATTATAGAAACAGAAATCAGATTGGTTACCAGGATCTGGTGGAAGATTGGTTGCATGACTCATCAAACTGCACACTAAAAAAGGGTAAATTTTAACGTATATAAATTACACTTCAACAAACCTGACAAAAATACAGAATGCAACAACATACTAAAATAAGAACATAACTGGACTCTTAAAATTTATTACTATCCCAGCCCTGGCTGATGTGGCTCGGTAGATTGAGAGCTGGCCTGTGAATCAAAACGTTGCTGGTTCGATTCCCAGGCAGGGCACAGGCCTGTGCTGGGGGTCAGGTCCTCAGATGGTAGTGTGGGAGAGGAAACCCAATGATGCTTCTCTCACATGTCGATGTTTCTCTCCCTCTCTATCCCTCCCTTCCCCTCTCTCTAAATAAAAATTAAATTTAAAAAATTATTAACACTACAAAAGAAAAGCGCTGGAACATGGAAGTTGGTTACCTGTCACTAGCATGATATAGTGGGGGAAGTACAGTAATAAATGTCCAGGGAAGAACTTTGTTTATTTTTTCAAATTATTTTGGCTATTCTAGCTTCTTTTTCATATGCATTTTGGAATCTGCCTATCAATTTCTACAAAAAAAAAGAAAACCTTGTTGGATGATTATTGGAATTGTTTTGAAATTGAAATTCTTATTTTCCTCATAAAATACATTTACACTATCAAGTAGGCTAAGGTTATGGGCACCGGAAGTAAAATTGGTTGGGTCTAACGATTAAGAATCACACCAAGAAAGTATTAATGGTACCAGGGGTAACGGCCGCTGCGAATTTCTCAGTTGTAAGTTAATTGGTTAGCTCTCTGGCATCACTGCCCCATTGGTACACACATTGTGTTTTTTGAAGATGTACCATGTTTTGCTGTGTATAATGCGCACCCATGCTTTTGGCCCAACCTTTCAGGAAAAAAATCTCCATTCATTTTTTAAATTCAATTACTTATTTATTTATATTTAGATACTTATTTTGGGGTTGTGAGAGAATTTTAGCATTTATTTTTGAACATATGGTACAAGAAGTTTTTTTAAATATATTTTATTGATTATGCCATTACAGTTGTTCTATTCCTCCCCTTCATTCCCCTCCACCCTGCACACCCCTCCCTCACCATTCCCCCCTTTAGTTTATGACCACTTGTCTCAAGTTCTTTAGATTCTATATTTCCCCTACTATTTTTGCCCTCCCCCCATCTATTTCTACCTACCGTCTATGCTATTTATTTTCTGTACCTTCTCCCCCCTTCTCCTTCTCCCACTCCCCTATAGCTAACCCTCCATGTGATCTTCATTTCTATGGTTTGCTCCTGATCTAGCTGTCCTCTTAGTTTGCTTTTGTTTTAGGTGTGGTTGTTAATAACTGTGAATTTGCTGTCCTTTCACTGTTCATCTTTTTTATCTTCTTCTTCTTAGGTAAGTCCCTTTAACATTTCATATAATAAGGGCTTGGTGATGATGAACTCCTTGAATTTGATCTTATCTGAGAAGCACTTTATCTGTCCTTCCATTCTAAATGAAAGCTTTGCTGGATAGATCAAACTTGGTTGTAGGTCTTTGGATTTCATGACTTGGAATACTTCTTTCCAGCCCCTTCTTGCCTGTAAGGTCTCTTTTGAAAAATCAGCTGACAGTCTGATGGGAACTCCTTTGTAGGTGACTGTCCCCTTAGCTCTTGCTGCTTCTAGGATTCTCTCCTTCATTTTAATCTTGGCTAATGTAATGATGATGTGCCTTGGTGTGT